TGGCCTCCAGTTTTTTCCTTGTGTTTCCCCTACCCTTGTGTCCCCTGTGCTCCTGTCTGTTTCTCTGTCTGTGTCTGTGTGGTGGGCGTGGCGCTCCTCTGCTTCCGGCTCCCTGGTCACTGCTGATTTGACACACCTGTTCCAAGCCAGTCACCTGCAAACCATCAGCTCATCAGCCCTGCAGTATATCTACCCCAGTTTTCCAGCCGCTCATCGCCAGATTGTTTCACTGCTGCGGTAGTACGCTTCAGGCCAAATCTATAGTGTTCTAAAGCTTTGCTTCTCTGTGACTCTTCGGTGCTTAACTTAATTTACTCTTCTGCTGCAGATCCATCACCTGCTCATCCAGCTGCCAGCCACTTACCTGCACGTCCGCCTCTCCACATCACTGCTGCCTTCATCTACTGTGGATCTCCTTGCCCTTGCCATCAGCCCTCCATCCAATACCCCCCCTCTACAATAAAAGACTTTATATCAACAACACCCCTCTCCGTGTCCTGCACTTGGATCTCCACCTTTGTTCGTAACACTACTGTTAGAAAGCTCTAAAGCTCCGTCATATCTTAGAGAGCTCATAGTGCCATATTATCCCACCAGAACACTGTGCTCTGAGAATGCAGGGTTACTCGTGGTCCCTAAAGTCTCCAAAAGTAGATCAGGAACCAGAGCCTTCAGCTATCAGGCTCCTCTCCTGTGGAATCATCTTCCTGTTGCGGTCCGGGAGGCGGACACCGTCTCCACATTTAAGACTAGACTTAAGACTTTCCTCTTTGATAAAGCTTATAGTTAGGGCTGGCTCAGGCTTGCCTTGTACCAGCCCCTAGTTAGGCTGACTTAGGCCTTGTCTGCCAGGGGACCCCCACCAGGCACCTTCTCTCCTTCTCGCTCTCTCTCTCTCTTGTGTCCTGTTACTGCACCTTGCTAACTCGGCCATTCTGGATGTCACTAACTCGGCTTCTTCTCCGGAGCCTTTGTGCTCCACTATCTCTCAGGTTAACTTAAATCGCAGCGGTGCCTGGATGGTGTGATGTGCGTGGTTGTGCTGTTGCCGTGGTCCTGCCAGATGCCTCCTGCTGCTGCTGTTATCATTAGTCAGACTTCTACTGTTATTATACACATATGATTATTGTCACATATGTACACTATCAGATATTAATATATACTTTCAACATATTGTACCACAACAGCCAGAATTATAATTATAATATTATTACTTTCATTAATGTTGTTGTAAGCTACTGTCATTACCGTCTGTCCTGTATCTCTCTCTCTCTCTGTCTCTCTTTCTGTCTCATTGTGACATACGGATTACTTTTAATTTATTATGTTGATCTGTTCTGTATGACATCTATTGCATGTCTGTCCGTCCTGGAAGAGGGATCCCTCCTCAGTTGCTCTTCCTGAGGTTTCTACCGTTTTTTCCCCCGGTTAAAGGTTTTTTTTGGGGGAGTTTTTCCTTATCCGCTGTGAGGGTCCTAAGGACAGAGGGATGTCGTATGCTGTAAAGCCCTGTGAGGCAAAGTGTGATTTGTGATATTGGGCTTTATTGATTGATTGATTAATTGACGTGCTAACCTCATAAACCGACCTGCTCTTAGGTGAAAACAAAGAGTCCATTTCTTCTTCTTGGGTGCATAATTTATTTATCACCATCGTAGTCTTGAATGAAACTTGCATACATTCATCAAATTTGTGTCCAGAAGCCATCCAAATACATAAAGTTCCAGCAATACATAGAGCACCATACACCTCACTTAATGTGGCCCGGCGTTGCGGTCAAAAAACTATGTGTGCTCCCCTTCTAGCATCACCCATCTCTCAGTCAGTGGTTCCTACTGATATCGGCACACACCCATGACAGTAAAGTGACCCCTACAGGACAAATGAACAACTTACACACATTTTACACCATAGATGGCTCCTATACTTAGAGATATCTTTTTCATTATTACTATTGTTAATATTTTCATTTTTAATTCAAACTGATGTAAGTAAATGAGAAAAAACAAAAATGTAAAATTGAAATTGATTTTGCATTTGAAAATGACATTCTTTGTCAAAAATGCATTTTTCACAGCTTTTTTTCCAAAGTGTTTTTTTTTATGAAAATGCACAAATTTAAGTATTGATAAAAAAAAAAAAAGGAATGGAATAAGATAGAATAAAATGTTTTTTGTGTTTCAAAACAGAAGGTCTCTTCTTTAGTTTCATGTATATACTGTTTACATATTCATGGAACAAATTATTCTGTGGGTCTTGAAAGATAAGTGAATATGATCAAAAATGCTGGCGGTGACTGGCAACTTAAAAATAATACTCTGGCGGGGAAAATGTTAAGGTTGCCAGAAATTACTCCGAACGAATACTAACATTGCTCTATGTCTGCTGAAAGTGTATAATCAACTGTTGGCTATTGTGTTTGCTAAATCAGCTTTATAAGGGGACGATCTGTCAGTTACAGCTTGTTGTGCTGGCCCCAAGTGGCCAACAAAACAGAAACCAAAAATAATAAAACAACAACCACGTCATCACAAGTTTTAAACAAAATATGGATATTTGGACTTTCTATGTTTGTTCTACCAGTTTGTAATTCTGAGGATTATGTGGTTTTTCTTTGAGTGTTGACTCGGCCAGTTCAAAATAATTATAATTCAAAATAATTTGTTTATCTTAATGGTTATTATTCATGCTTGAGAGTTCACAGATTGAGCCAAATCCCCTAATGTCCTCAGTGAATGTTACAGCAACATTACCAGAGAAACAGATTAGAGAGGTGAGGTGTTTCGGCCCAACTCTGAGGGATATCACACATAAACTAACATAGTTGTGGTTGTGAATGAAATAGCCTGGTTGTTGTGAATGAAATAGGAAACTGGTGTCTCAGTCATTAAAAGTGGGGCGAGAGAAACATGAGTCATCCAGCCTCAAGCACAATCAAAGCTTCCTGCTCTTCCATCTTCGTCTCTGCTGATGGACCCAAAACAGGCGGTTCTGAAACAAGTGATCAATGCAGTGAACCTGAAGATAAATTAAGCACAGGATTAAGAATACAATAACTGCTACAGCATATATGTATGCATATATATATGTGTGTGTGTGTGTGTGTGTGTGTGTGTGTGTGCATGTATGCATGTATAGTACTATACTATACAATACTATATCTGGTTACCCCATCATTCTCCATCCAACTAACAAGAAATCAGCGCTGCTGTTGTCGTTGACTTTTGTGGCATGTTTTGCCCAGCAACTTTTACGGGATGACTCACTCAAAGCAGCTATTACGCATGACCAAAGGAAAAAAAATGATCAAAGGATAAGGTGGGGCAAGCAGATAGCAGGAATCGGATAAAAAGGTGTTTGGAGCGGGGGAGCGGCTATTTGAGACGGGGACAGGGCCACATGCTGCTGCGCATCAGGACCATGCAGACCACCCCCAGACTGCTCAGCGGGGTGCTTCTCTGCGCGCTACTGTTGCTCTCCAGTGCCGCTAGAGCCGAAGTGTTGGACACCGAGTCCCAAGAGATGCTGAGCCCCAGAGCCCTGCGGGACTTCTATCCTAAAGATCCGAACCTGACCAGTGAGAAGCAGCTGGTAAGCTTTTACTTCACTTGTGCTGCACTGCGTACATGGAGACAGACGAGCAACTTTGAATCTTTGTACAACAGCAACAAAAAAGTTTCGTCATTCTATAAATCAAATTGTATTATTATTATTATTATTAAATATCTTCTGCACATTACTTTAAATGTCAGTTTTGTTGTGTTGATTAAAGACTAAAATATGTCCACCGTAAAATTCACCAAAATCAATTTAGAAATGCGTGTATTTAAGATTTTATCTTGATTTTTGATCATTTAAAACTATATAACTGCTTAATGTGACTATTATATTGCCAAAGCACTTATTTTACTTGTATAATCCCTTTACTATTACTCACACTGTTTCTATGTGTTTGTTCGTTGCTACAATAACAAATGCACACTCATGAAGCACTTTGTAAAATGTGTTTCCTGACAGCTCGGAGCTCTCCAAGAAGTTCTCGAAAAGCTGCAGGCTAAACGACTGCCTTTATGGGAAAAGAAATTTGGCCAAGTCCCAACGGTATTGTCCATGCTTTAACACGTTGCATTAATTTATACTGTATTGCTCCATGTTGCAGCAGGGAGAAACGAAGCAAACCTCTGATGTTGTTGCTCCTCCCTCAGTGTGATATCGGGGAGCAGTGCGCCGTGAGGAAAGGCGCTCGGATCGGCAAGATGTGCGACTGTCCCCGGGGAGCTTTCTGCAATTTTTTTCTGCTGAAGTGCTTATGAGCCTGGCCGGATCTAAATATATCACTGAGCTGGAGAGAAAAAAAACTGTCACTCGATTTCTATGTAATTACTGTTATACTGTGTATAATGATAACGAATGAGCAGACGATAATACGATAATAATCTTGTAAAGAACCATAAAGTTCCTGTAAATATTCAAAACCACTTTAAGTAGGAACCCCCTAGGATCATTGTTGTGATAGCAGCCGAGATCTAACCCACAATGCACAATAAACTCCTCCAGGACCACATACACACCGTGAAGTCTTCACCGCAATATTGCGGGAATACAGTGATTCTTTGTCTGGGCAAGTCCAAAATATCTCTTTTGAACTTCTATTATTTTGTTTCAGATGAATGTTTGTCTATGAAACCCTGATAATAATAATAATAATAATAATGGTAATAATAATGATAATAATAATTATAATGTTTTTTAAAGCAATGGAGTGACTGCACCTTATTTTTGCCAGTGCACTTGAAATCCCTTCAAGCGGATGTTTTGATTTTTTTTTTTTTTTTTTTTT